AATAAATAAGATCAAGGAACTTTGCTTAAACTTTATGAAAAGGCAATGCATTTCATCTATAAAAATGGGTAGATGCTAGAAGCGCTCACACGGTTTCCGCTGCACAGCTGACAGGCACTTCTACAGTAAAACATTGTATTTTAATCACATTACATCCTAAATCTACCAGACATTTTTTTTCTGGGCACTAAAATAGGTTAAAAGCTTTGGCATACTGCAAAACACTAGAGTGGAATAGTCTGCAGCCTCACATACATCCCAGACCACTGGTTATATCTTCCATACACTTCACCTATAAAGATGAGCTAATGAAACTAAATATGAGAGTGTATCTTATACACATCATAAGAATATCTTTCTTCAAAGAACTAATGAAAGTAGGGTTTTTTTTTTTTTTTTTTGCTTATCTGCCAGATTTTCCACTGAAGCTTATTTAACAATGTTCACATTTTTCTATTCTGCTGACTGAGCTACTGACTAGGGAGATTAGGCAGCTGGAATATATAACACGTTCAGCTACTCTAACTGGTGAATGAAGAATATCTGCTTACGCTTCTTGTTCTAGAAGAGGCGCATACATGTGCCTATGAGACATTCACTTCTCCAGTAGAAAAAGAAAATATAAATAAATATAATCTTACAGTGTTTTATCAGCAATTATTTTTTCCCTATGTCAACACTCTTGACAGTTCCTCTCTTTAGACTCACAGTTTTCAACAAACGTAATTTGCTGCAGGCTACTTGATTGTGCAGCTAACATAACCTCCTCAACCAGAAATACTGTGCTTAAAAATCAGGTTCTTGCAACAAAGCTCCCCAATAACCAGATGGAATCCTAAGGAAAGTGAGCTTCAGGGCAACTATCTACCCTCATTAAAACTCTGTTGGTCTCCAGGAATTTCTCCCAAGGAAGGAAAGATAAGTATGAAAGGACTGTCTTAGGCCTTAGCTCTCTGACCCTTTGCTAAGGACACCATCCCCCCACTACTCTGCCTATTCCAATTTGGCTCCTTCCAGAGCCTCAAGTCCAGAGCAGCAGATTGGGTTTGGGTCCCACAGGCAGACATTTGAAGACATGCCTGAATATCATGAATGCCTGAAATATATTTGGTTGTTGCGAGCCTGCCAAAACTGCCTCTTAAATAAAAGCTGATTCACTCTCCTTAGCACTCTGAGTTTATTTGCACACACAGAGTGCATTTGCATTTCTCATCCTATCTCAAGTGAAAAAGACTATCCCGAGAATCAATAAGCACATGAAAATCATGTAATATCCAGTGGATGTTAAAAACTCATTGCATAAAACAGCAGCGAGCCCAAAGTTGCTTAAAAAAAAAAGACCACGCATTTATGCATTTAAAACAGAAAAAAAAATAGATCAGAAATATGAAGAATTCATACAGAAGGTTTTGTGCTTGTAAAAGCTGAAGTTTCTGATGGAGAAGACTAAATTTAAATATGAGTAAAGAAGTCACGCGTTCTGATAGAACCAGGAAAATGCACTAACTTGAAGTCTCTATTGATTTGAACACCTTTGGGTTGCAAAAAAAATTCAAGCTGTATTATTTGCACCTGTGAGTCACAGGCTAGAAATGGACTTGTCTATTTGCAAGCTGAATTTTTGTGATTTCTTTTCTGTAAGTTCATAAATTCACAAATTTTGTTTTGAAAACTCAAAGCATAGTTCATCTGGAGATACAAAGTTACCTGAAGAAAGCAGGACCGTGACCCTACAAATATGAGGTATGCAATATAATACGTAAGTCACCAGCCCATATCTTACCATGCTATCAGCACTTCATGCAAAGATGCTAATCAGTTTGGTTCTGCTGTTGAGGCCTTTGCAAACTGCTCCTCTGTCTTTGAGGGTAGAAGGTGGAAGCTGCTACTGATTATGGAGAAATTGGATGCAAGGCAGCCTCTGTATCCGATAGCCAATTTAAACATTTTGAATTCATTTCTCCTTCTGGCATGATACGGAGTTGATAAGTCATTATATCATTCACAAAACATTATTTCCCCATCACTGAAAAACTGGAGCAGGAAGGAGCTAGAGATCAGAGAGCAGAATCACACTCCAGTCAGGAGGGACTAGCACGACAAGCAACTCGCAGTTAAGGGAACATTTATCATAATTGCCTCAACTCCAACACGGCCAAGGAAAGAGGGTGCTTCAAAAGAACCTCTCAAAGTTCCCAGGACAAATCTGGCATCAGATTTGGCTTTTCCAATTTTGAGATGGATGTCTGTTGTTAGTATGGCACTATCCTACCCAGAGTTTAAAAGGAAAAGCATATGATTACAATTCTAAACCTGCCCTGAGTACTCTATAAGCATGGTTTTATTCTAAAGAAAATTGATTCTTATATATATCACTTTCTGCAAGACGATGATTTCTTTAAGTATTTCTTTGAGCTTCAGGTATAACTCTTCTTTATTTTAGACGACTTAGCAGTATCAAGAGGTTGAATTCCATTGAAACTAAGTAAATTATTCCTCCAACCTTTTAATGGTAGAAATTTATTATAAGGTTGAGGAGAAAGAGTACATAACTTTTAATAAAGCCTTAATAAAATTTCACCTGGATATTTTGCACTGGAGTGATTTTTTCCTTTTTGTTAATAAAATGCTTCTCAGCATAGCTCTCCCCAATGCAAAGAGAAGCTTTATAAATTAATATTATGTTTTCAGAATAGAATGATACTTTTTCCTCAAAATTAATTTATATGGTGAGGCTTTAAAAATAATTTTCATTTTATACACAAGGAAAACACCATAATCTCTACAGAAAATGAGTTCATAGAGTTGAACTTGAGAGCTGAGAAGCTGAACACAAGCTTCCCTGCACAGAGCCCATCAGCAGCTTCTAAGGCTGCTCTTGAGAAATGGGGTCATCCAGCAGCAAGAGAGAGCTGGGGATTCTCCAGCTCCTGTTACCATGAAGTACAATCTGCTATCAAAAAACAGAAGCACGGCTGCTGCTTTTCTATTTAAAAGAAATTAAAGTGATACTGAAGGCTGAAGTCACATTAATTCAGCAAGTTTTCTATGCTATGAAACAGCTAATTTCTGTATGTGAAAATGACTTAGAGCGTAAAGATGAAGAGACAGGGAATACAGAGAAAGCAAGTGGACAGTTCAAGAAATCTTACTCTAATTTGCTGTTATCCTTCAGGTGTATTTCACTGTGGGTGAGGAACTGTGAATGGTATCAACAAATAACCAATCTGTACCAAACTAACTGCTAAAACGTTATCCTTTTTGAAATAATAAAAAGGACATGCATTTGGATAGTTTACAATTACTACAGAATCACAGTGTATGTTGATGTAATACATACATTCATGAGCAAAAAAAAGAAGTACTAGCTTGCATACAAGTATTATTAAATAAAAATACAGTCTAAACACATGCATATGTAAGTATATAATCCCTGTATAAATATTCCTATATGTGTTACCAGATCCACGCTCTCATTATAGGAGAATAACAGCACTGAGAACCAGTAAGGTGCCCTACGTTCCCATCCTGTTACCTTCATTCCACACTTACAATTGTTGCTTTTCCATTTCTAGGGAAGGGGGAGAGGTTATGAAACCAGCTAAATACCTTTATGGATTGCAGGGAAGCTTGCTGAACATGTAAAGGCTGCTGTTTTACAGGAGTAGCAGGGCTAGGAAATAGTCTTTTTTCCCCCTCCCTGCCGAAGGCACAGCCTAAGAATAGCACAGGAGATACCCACCACCTGCTACGCATTTTCTCTCGCTTCTAAACATGGTGTTGAAGACGCTCAAGATATTTACGGGTATCACCGAGCCCTCGGTGAAAGTTTTAATGCAACCTGCTACATCCTTCAGTCCTAGCTCTTCTCCAGCTCCTGTCTTTTACCGAGGCAATTTAACACAGCTCTACCTTACACACACCTTAAGCGCAAGGTAGCAAGCATCATTACCCTTTAGCACCACAACTCGGCTGCACCCTTGCAACAAAACTGCTGGAAAGACTGTAAGAAAAGCAAATAAACAACCTCCAAGGGGGACCCCCGGGGCTGGATATCGCCGCTGCGAAGCTGGGCGCGCTAATGAGGGCTGCGAATTGCGCCTTCCCCGCTGGCAGGGGGGGGTTCCCCAAGGCGGGAGCCCTACCTTGGTGAGCTGCGCGATCTTCTTGCACATCCTGAGGTGGAGCGCGGGCTGCGGGGGCCGGCCCGCGCCGGAGGCCATGGGGCCGCCGCGGGGCCGCCTCCTGGCCGAGCGGCTCCCGCGGCTTGAACCCGCCGCGTGCCCGGAGCCGCTGCGGCCCCGCGGCAACGCCGAGGCGGAGCGGGGCGGCCCTCGCCGCGGCCGCTCCGGCTGCCTCGCACGCGCAGGGAGCGCTGGAAGCGGCCGGGAAGGACGCGGGCTGCACCTCAGCGGGCGTCTTCCTTCCTCATCCGCAGCCCGTCCCTCTGCCCCAAGGGATAAGGCTTCTAAATCCCCTCAAGAGAGGGAGGAGGGAAAAAAAAAAAAAAAAAGTAGTCAAAGTTTTTTGTTTTAAATCACGGAATGGTTGAGGCTGGCAGGGACTTCTGGAGATCGTGTAATCCAACCCCCTGCTCAAGCAGGGACGCCGAGAGCACGTGGCACAGAATCCAAGCTTTTCAGATGAAGCAGTTTTAAAAGAAGAGAAAAATCAGTAAGAGGTCAAACAAGCCGTAAAACGGTTAGCAGGCGAGTTTAAACAAGAGCAGAAGAAATGGGAAGGAGGAGAAGGAAGGTTGGGAGGCAAGAGACGGGGATGCGCAGGGAAGGGAGCAGCAGCCGCAGCGAGCGGTCCCGCAGCCTTCGCTGCTGCCCAGGACCAGGCAGGGGGGCCCGTCCGACCTTGGGACACAGAAACCAGAGCCCTGAATTCCCGGGATTCGGCGGCACTCCGAAGGTGGAGAGCAGCTTTGTGCAGGAAGCTTTTCCCGTGGTTAGGGATCAGGGACGCCCCGCTGCCAGGTGAGACGTGTTACTCACATGGAGTTCAACACAGTTAATGCGGTCACGGCATCTTCTCCTCCTGACACCAGCCTGAGGAGGGAGAGAAGTGTGAGGTTTATTATCTGTCAAGTTTTGATAAGGTTGACGAGTTTATTAGGACTATCAAGAGAGCACTCAAAAAAAAAAAAAAAAAACTAATAATAAAAAAAGGACTGGACAGTTATATAAGGTTTTATTTTCCAATGAGAATTGGAAAAATCGAGTGAATATACAAACCAAGTTAAGAAAAATGCAATGCACTTCAAAGGTACCCAAGTTATCTATGTTATCACTCAGATACACAGATAAGACAAACAAATTCCTGTTTCCTCTGCTGAATGTCACAGGACATTCCTGGACCTGAAGGCATGGTTGGATGGAGGCTGGATAAGCAGCAAAGAGGAGCTCAGATCTTCCGATACACCAGGAAAATGATGAGGGATTTTTTCAAGCTGGCAATTCGTGTATTTGGGGCAGGGGGTGGGAGGAAAGGAAGGTATTGAGCCTTTGGTGTGTGGTGCTGTGATGGTTCTAGCAAAGCACCATGTCATTTTTTAACCAGTTGACCTGTGCAGTCCTGAGAGATGAAGAAAAGTTAAGGATAATCAAGTTCTGTTTTGAAATTAAGGTAACAGGTAGAGGATGAAGTCCCCATGCAAGTACTCCCCTTGGCAAAGGCTGCAGGACGAGATCAACTCTTTGCTAGACATGCGAAAAAATGTCATGTAAGAATTGTCAGCAACACTTCAAATACTGGAAAAGCTTCGGTCAAAGTTCATGCACCAGAAAATGCAAACACAGAACATAAATTCATAAGAGACTCAATGTTCTGTTAGTTCCACTACCCGACAAAATACTTGCTTTTAGTGACAGAATTTTAATAGATAACACCAGAGCTTTTCAAGGAGAAAAAGAAAATCTGACTCTATTTTTTTTCTTCTTTCCTTACTGATCTAGGGATCACTCATGGATTAGTAAAAAGGACAAAGCAAAGATGTCACAAAATGTAATTTAAGTATGCGTTCCATAAGTACAGGTTTTGAGGGCCACGTCAAGCACACAGGCTGATAACAAAAGTGTTTTTGAACCTGAAGCAGGATGTTTAAACATACGGTTTAAAATCCAATCTGAGCAGTCTAAATAGAAAACATGCACATAAACTGCTCTTTGAATTTGAATTATTGTTGCTGCATTGATTTTAAGAAGCTTATAGAAGAAACTCATTCTGACCCTACCAGCTTTTTAACTAGATGAGCAACTTATATTGTATGAGTCTACAGCTTTATTGCTTAGGTAGATCAGCAATTTACTTTTTTTATTGGCAAAAGTAGGCTATATATGAATAAACACATCCTTGATTTTCACTATCTGCTACTTGTTGAATATGCAGACTCCACAGTTTCTGAAAAATTCACTCCTTTGCAGTCCTTCCAACCATGTAGTGTGTTTTGTATGAGACCCTGTTCTATGGTTCTATGAACTTTAGCCTTCTCAGCCTTTGAACCTTTGAAAATCACAGTATGAATAACATCTTTACATGACAGGATGTGCTGTGTCTTACTTTGATGGAGGCTTATGCTATCATTGTACCACAAAAATAGCTACTCTGTTTAACGTGTTTGAGCTTTAGATCTGTTTTCTAATAATGTATTTGGGAGAATACAGCTATGCTGATCCCCCAGATTTGACTCCACTGCTGTTTTTCAGACCAATAGATTTAGCATTTAAAAACTGTAGAACATTATCATTAGCCATTAACGGTCTTAAAATATTTCAAATTAAGAGGCTTTATCAGGAAGATGAATTTAAAACTCCGCAAGGTAGTGCCTCAGCCAAAGCAGATGTCTTCCTAAGTATTATTCTAATTTAATTCATAAATCATGATTATCATTATCACCCTATTTAAACTCATTGTGATGCCAGAGAGTCCAGGGACTGTTATTTCTTTCATACAGGAAAAACTGGGAAGGAGGAAGAAGCAATCAGAAGGCCCATGAGAAATGCCATTCATCCAGTTCAGTATCCTGTTTCCAACAAAGCCATTTTATAGTTGAATGTGAGAAAGATGGCAAATAGTTCTATCATTGGTACATCTTGGGTCATTATGATGATGGGTTTACATACCTATTTCATAATTTTCATATTTCACCTTTTTCATAAATCTCATCTTGTAAAGAAAACAGGATTTGGGAGTTCAATTCAAAGCCCACCAAAAATGCTACCAATTGACTAAAAATACTATTTTTTTTCCAAAACTTTTATAGCTGCCTTTTATGAATACAAGTTTTGGAGGAATGTGATGAACAGAACCTCTGATTACAATTGTAAATGATAGCCTAATTATGGACGTAGTAATATGAGTTAATATCTTACACGTGGGGACTGTAAGAGGAGTCCACTACATAAATTAGTTAGAAAAGCTCTGGAATGTTTATTAAATAGGATAACAACAACTTTCCATTTCAAACTGATTTTTACTCAGTGACCTATATTTGATGTGCACACTTAGAAAATAGTTCGCTGAAAGCTTAGCTTAGTCTGCAGTAGCTTTTTTGCACACACAACTGGACTCAGAATGCATCTAGAAGGTCAGAAGCACAGGGAGATGCATCTAGAAAGAGGGCATTGGCAGATGAGGTTATTGTTAAGGAGAAAAGGAGAGAAAATCCTGAGTTCCTGCTTCCTTTCAGAGCCTAGAACAGCCTCCAAGTTTTGATTTCCATCATTCCTCCTCTTGTTCTTTGGAAGTGTGAAACCCACTGACCACAATCTCTGGGTCCATCCTGCTTACCTTGCTCAGGCCACCACTAAACTGGGTAGAAGAACAGGGCTGAAGGGCTGCTGGAACTGAATGGGGCTCCTGGGCCCAACTGTAAAGGTTTGGGGTGGAAACCCCATGTGAGATTTGTCTCACAGCAAACCACTCCATTGGGTAAAGACAGCAACTAAGTGGTACCGCACAGAGGCTGCTATACCTTATTTTGACCAGTTAGGCCCTGTCCCACACATGTGACCCTACTTCAGTGTGTTATAAACCCAAGATACTGGAAATTGGGAATTCTGCGACGTATTTACCCCGAAAGGCAGCCTATCTAACAAAGTTAGACTTCAATTAGCTACAACAGAAACATGAAATATTTCTACCTAGGAAGGCAAAGTCTAACAGAAATATTTAAAGCAGACTGGAAGAAATAAATCTGGAAGCCTGGACGAAACGAATCACAGGGCTTGCAAGGTATTCACCAGGGAAAATCCGTATCTGTAGATGTGAGATGCAGGCAGGAGCAACTGGACTGGCAAGCATAAGCAGGCTAAAAGTAATTGTGTGTGCATTAATTTCACTTAAAGGAAAAGATTTGGGTTTGTGAAGACTTGAAAATGACAAAGTTTTACCTGTTCTCTTCTTTCTGTTTCCATTCTTGTCTCCATAAGCAGGAGATGCAGGAGAAAAAAAAAATAATGAAGTCAATTTTCCTGTACAAATATATTAAATATAAAGATGGCTACATATTCTTGAAAAAAACACATATCTCAAATTTTCAAGGATCGTTTCTATAGGTCCCTGTGAATTCCTTAGAAAATAAGATCTTGGAAAAAAAATCAAGGATTTTCTGTTAATGATAGTATTTGGTGAGTCTTTAACACAAGATAGATTTCACCCTTCATTTGGGGGAAAAAAAAAAAAAGATGTTTAGCATATACAGTGTGATGCTACTACTATATCTGAGCATATAGAAGACATTCCCAGTATTATTGGAGCAGCAGGAGAGGATGAGGCCAAATCCATAATTTGGACAATAAAAAAATATATATGATTCTTCTTTGAAGTAGACATCTGTTTTAAGCATACACAAATGTGTGGTAGGAAAATATGTTAAAATTCATCTTGCCACATGAATAAACATGACTTTTAAATTTAACCCATAAAATAAAATTCTGTTTTCCTATATGGCTGCTACCCTCCATTCTCCACATATAGATCATCTCCCCCATAACCCTTGACATAACAGCAAAGAAAAAAAAAATATTATTTTGTGGATAAAAATCTGCTACTTGAATAGTGAGTTGATCCAGACCTGAAACAAGACTGACCCCTAGTGCTTACCTATTTTGTTAATGTTTTCTGTTTTAAAGACCAAAATTATTTTTCTTTAGTAAGTGCTCTGTGTATTCGACCTGCTTTAACTTGATTGTATATCCTTTTTCCTTCATAAATAATTACTGTTGTTTGAGGTAATTAGGCACTTTAAAAAAATGCCCTAACACATATATGTGCTAAATACCTTATGTTCCTAGAGTGCAGTTTAGTTTTTGCCCACGTTTTTTGAATTCTGCCTGTTACGTGCGTAGCTAAAATGCTCGAGATGTTTCCCCTCAACTCATCACCCACAGCTCGGTTTCGACGTGGTCATTCCTGCGTGTACGTCTGTGGTATCTGGCTGGCAGATCTGGAATCTGTCAACAAGTTTGAGCTTTCCTGAGAATTTACTATTCCCAAGTGAAAGGATTTCTGGGAAAACGTGAGGTTCATAACAAATGCTTGACAATTTAAGGGAAAAATATGCAAATAAAAACTTGAAATTAAAAAAAAAAAAATCTGCATTCAGACAACCACCAGCTGCCCATACTGTTCTTCCCCTGTAGCCACTATGAAGCACAAAGATGTTTTGATAGTAACACAGTCTGCAACTTGGATCCAGCTCCCCTAGTTCACCCAGGGAATCAAGTAACGCTGCTTGGTTAACTTCATTTCCTTTGATAGTTCAATTCTACTTGTTAACTTGCTAACTTTAGGCATAAACCACCGCTCCAGGGGCAGCAGCTGTTTTCCTGGTGACTCTCCACAATTACACTCCAAAGGGCTGTAGCATTTTGTGAGCGCTTTGCTCGTTTGCCACCCCACAGTTATTTTGGTTTAAGGTGTACAAAAGGCAACTCTGAGGTTTTTTTCTTCCGGATCGTAATTTTTTTTTCTTCCAGGATTTCACGAAAGCGGTTCGGAGTGGTACCAAACGGGCAGACACATTCAACTATTTCGCGCCTTCGCACATTCCCAGGCTTTTTTTTTTTTTTCCCCCCCCCGCAATTAGGTTGCAGCTGGTGCGCTGACACTGCTGTCCGGCTGAGCGCAGCCGTGGGGCAGGACGGGGAGCACGCCGTTTTCCCGCTCCCCTCACGAGCGCCTCTCCACCCGCCCGCCATTTCCTCGCCCCGCTGGCGGCGCCGTCTCCCGTGCTGTCCGCGCGCCGCCCCCGCTGCTCTCGCGAGATTTGGAGCGGCGCTCGCGCCCGGTTTGAAGCTGGGGGCGCGGGAGCCGCGGCCGTTGCTGGGTCCCGAGCGGCGGCCCCGGGACCGGGTGTCCCCGACCTCCCTCAGCGGCCCCGCTCGCGGTGCGAGCCCTGCCCGCCGCAAGGCTCCGTGTGGGGCTCTGTGGATCGTCCCGAGCGGCCGTGTGTCGCCCCGGCGCCGCCATGGGCGCGGGCAAGAAGCCCCTGCAGATCCAGGAGGCCTTTGAGCTGGCCCAGAAGCCGCACCAGAACCACGCGAAGCTCGTGGTGGCTCTGAAGAAAACCTACAGCCAGGTGAGGCCGGCCCGGGGGCGGCAGCAACGCGAGGCGGCGGGGTCTCCTCGAGCGGCTCTGCCCTCTTCAGCGCTTTAAAAACTTAAAGAGTGACTGTCCGTTACAAAACCACTCACTTTAATTTGTGTTACTGCTTTTTTTTAATATTATTTTTTTTTAAATTTCAGTTGGAAGATAAGCAAGATTTCCATGAAAAATTCATCCATTTCCTGAAGTACGCTATGGTCATCTACAAGCGGGAGCCGGCCGTGGAGCAGCTGACCAACTTTGTGGCGAGATTTGTCACTTCGTTTTACCAAGCGGAGGAGAGCGACAGCAGGGAAGGAGAGGAAGATAACGCGCTTCTGAATTACGTGTTCAATTTCCTGCTGGAGGTATCGTAATAATTGTTATAACGCCTTTAACGGGATAAGTGAAAACTTGCCGACATACAGATGTTTGGAAACAACCTACAAAATGAAAGTGAAGCAAGGCTAATGTTTTACCGTATGTTTATGGAAAAAAAAAAAACCAAACCCTACAAGTTTTCTTATTTAGCAGTCCCAGGTGTGTCAGATATTTTTTGAGAAGTTACTGGAAGATCTTTCATACAAGTGTAGTTGATAAGTGTATTGCTCGTGTAATGCATTGCCTGCATTATACCCATAAAGAAGACTGTCAATTCCAGTAGCCCAAAAACGCAAGTTGAATGACATTTTCTTAGACTGATATTTCAAAATGTAAAGTATATAATATATATTTCTTTAGGCTAACACCACTGGTCTTTGCTAACTAGTCTTTGATGATTTTTGAATCTTAATGGATGCAAAGGAGCATTTTAGCTAATGCTGTACAGTTTGCATTGAGTAGTGGACAGGATTTTTTTTTGTGTGTGTGTGTATATGTGAAAAACAGTGATGTAACCAATAGACTATATTTTTTCAGGTCTGTGACTTTTATCAAAAAAAGACCCTTGGAAATAGGGACAGCTTTTGAAGTGTGCAGGGACACATATTATGTGCTATATAGAATGTTAACTAGTTGTATGTGCACATTGATGATGATATATAGAAAAAACAAGAGGCTATAATAACATTTTTCTTTCCTTTATTTTTTTTTCCTTTTTTTTTCTCCCTTTTCTCACCCTCCTCCCCCCTGCCAGTCTCACGATGCAACCAGCCATGCAGTTAGATTTCGAGCGTGCCAGCTTGTTAACAAGCTTCTGGGAAATATGCCAGAGAATGCCCAGATTGATGATGATTTATTTGATAAAATTAATGAAGCTATGCTGGTTAGACTTAAAGATAAGTTTTCAAATGTGAGAATTCAAGCTGTCCTGGCCTTGTCGAGACTTCAAGATCCTAAGGATGAAAATTGCCCTGTTGTTAATAGTAAGTCATAATGTTTTTTGGTTTCTTTTTTTAAAAAAAAAACAAATCTTAGAGGAGTTTCATCATGTGATAGGTAATCAACCTGTGGAACTTCTTGCCATGAATATTGTAAATGCAGAAGTTGTGTGTGTTGAAGTGGAGAAGATGAAACTGCTTGGAAGGATTAGAAGGATAGAAGAAGGATAAGTCAAGTATTGATTGTATTATCTCCTTGATGCTTTTGTTTTTCAAGAAGGGGCAAGAATGTAACAACATGATTTAATATAAGAATGTTACTACTTCAAAAAAGTATTTTGGTAGGCTTAATAGCAATTGCAGTTTTCCAATTATAGGAAAATTTGAGGATCCTCCTCAAAGGTGGTGAAGATAAATTGCCAGAGAATAGAGAGGTCCTAAGGAGACAACTTCTGGAAGTTCTATTTATCCAGTAAAAGACAAAGTGGTTGTTTATAGGTTTGAGATGCAGTTTTGGCATGTAATTGCCATAAACTTGGAGTGGTGAACCTGGACTGTACCCTAAATTTGGATAAGCATGCAAGCAGAGATTTTGTAGTAATATCTGTTGACTACTTTTTTTTTTCTTTCTGTTTTCCTGTAATATTCTAAGCTTGAAAGTCACATTATTATGATTTTAAATTTCAGTTTACAACACATTGCTTGAAAATGATTCAAATTCAGAAGTAAGACGTGCAGTCTTGTCGTGTATTGCTCCATCAGCAAGGACTTTGTCAAAAATTGTAGGTCGCACTATGGATGTAAAGGAGGCTGTCAGAAAGCTCGCATATGAGGTAAATTGTATCAATATTAATTTCAAAAATTGACTTAATAGGGTGGGGGCTTTTGGGTAGGTTTTCAGGTTAAATGACAGATCGGTTAAAATAACTTATTTTCCGTTGCCATTTCTTTTTTCATGAGTCATTTAATGCAAATTTTCAAGTTAAATCCTCTGAACTCTGCTGCAGAAATCTCTGAAAAGGGAATAAGTTTTCATGTGATAGAGCTTGAGTTATCAGGATGAGGAAGTTAGAGGAAAGATAATTTTTTGCAGTCTGTTAATTTTGTCTATGCATTTGGTTTTGTTTGTGAAACAGTTTTTACTTCTCTGTTATTGTCTAATAGAGAATTATATAGATAGATCTATAAAGTTTAGGGACCTAAGGTTACAGCAGTACTAATATAAAATGTTGTATATTTTTGTTTATTCAAATTTTATGAAATATCAGCATTACTTATGTTTATATTTAGAGCTATGCAAGAAGGAATGTTACCAAGTACATTTCTTGTGCAGGTAGCTTAATAATTGAACTATAAGATTGATCCTTCAAACAATATGTTCAGTCTTCTGTATTCAAAGAACCGTCTTCTGTTTTTGGACTGAAGCTCTGTGTTAGTGGCCTTTAAGGGATGTATGCCTTCACTGCTGGTATGCAGAACTCTTGGAGCTTTTAAGGAGAGAAAATTGCATGCAACAGCAGAATATGGAAT